ACAACAATGGAACCCATGACCTAGGGAGGTGGTGGGCTCTCCCACCCTGGAGGCATGCAAGAGGCAGATGGACAGCCATCTGAGAGGGATGGTTTAACTGGAAGCCCTGCACTGAGCAGGGGGCTGGACCTGATGGCCTTCTTGGCCCCTTCCAACTCTACCATTCCATGATCCTTTCAGATATAGAAACACAGAAACATAGAAACAGAGTGAGTCAGAAGGGGCCTCCCGGGCCATCTAGTCTGACCTCCGGCACCAGTTGGCTCCGCTCACGACATGCCCACCATGTGGACGTCCAGCCTATCCTTGAACACCCGCACCGATGGGGCCTCAACGACCTCTCGTGGAAGCCCATTCCACACCCACGGGGTCCTGACTGTCAGGAAGTGCTTCCTGGCATCCAAACGAAACCTTGGCTCCCTGAGCTTTGCTCCATTGCAGCGTGTCCTGCCTTCCTCTGCAGGGGAGAACAGGTCTCTGCCCATCTCTGTGTGACACCCCCTCACACGCCTGTATGTCGCCAACAGATCCCCTCTGAGTCTCCTCTTCTCCAGGCTGCAGAGACCCAGTTCCCTCAGCCTCTCCTCGTACAGCATCCCCTGCATATGCCTTCTGGTCACCAACTAGTTCTTCGTGACATGCATTTATGGAAAGACTCTCCCCTTCCAGTCTTCCTCCCTGTCCCCTATGAGTGGCGGACACCCCATCTTGTGGGAGAGAATTCCAAACACAGTTTATGTGTTGAGTAAACCCTACTTAGTCTTTCCTGAATCTACTGCCTTAAGTCCGAGTAGCGTGAGAAAGGGGGAAGGACTTCTCTGTGTCTACTCTCTATGCCAGGTGTTTCACACCTAGATTCAGGGATGGCGCATGAATTCAGGAGAGGGTCTCCTAACAGTTTGTCGGGCTGGATCCAGACTTAGTCATGCGTGGAGCAGGTCCACCAAAGTCAAGTGGCACTTGAGAGAGTCACGGGTCCATTCCAGACATGACTAATTTTGGTCTGTCCATCTGATCAAGGCAAGCAGTGGAGATGATGAGAGAAGCTAAGAGTCAATGTTAGGGCTAAGTCTTGGTTAATTTTGGCTCAAAATAAGCCCAGGGGGAAGGTATGTCCCATATCACACTGCCACTGCACTAGGAATTCCCTTCCCAAACTCTTGCACCACGGGCGTTGTATCTGCTCCTGGAAGCATATCATTTCTTTCCAAGGAGCTCAAGACAGCTTCTATCATTCTCCTTCTCGTCTCAGTCTTATCCTCACAACAACAATCCTGTGAGGTAGGCTAGGCCTCTAGGGCTCAGTGGGGACTAGAACCTGGATAGCCTGAGTCCATTCCCACACCTTTGACCACTACACCACACTGTCACCCCACCATGAGCTGGTAATTCTCCACGTCAACCTTCCTCTACACAAAGAATTCTTGGAGTGAATTTGAGGGCCCTTGTCCATCAAGTTCAGGTCCCTATCTGCACTATGGAGACCGGCGTAACTTACAGGGTTCTTGGTGAGGCGGGGGAGGGATAATTGGGATAATTCGTCCAGTTGTGCCTTGAGTCCTTTTCAAATGCAGTTCATCCGAGGTTCTCACATTGTGGTCCAGGCATGGCCCACATGCTTCTTTCAGGTATTGAAGGAAAGGTTGCCAAACCATGAAGAATACCTGGACTTGAGCATGTTCTCCTTGGTAATGCAGCTTGTAGCAGACAGTGGGCAGATTCATCTTTGCTGTTTGAATCATTCTGGAAAGGAAGCACCTTGTCCGTGCTAAGAAACATAGTCCAGCTCCCTGGGTCTTTCAGGAGAATCACACAAGATGCCAAGCCTCATGGAGTCCACCAGGTCAGAAACCGGATGGTGGAATCAGCTCGTCACGCCTCAATGGCACAGAATTATTATAATCCAGTAGCACAGCATTGTGTATAGACTTTAACCAATACCGTCTGCTAATACAATGAGGCAAATGTGCAGAAAGAGAAGGAAGAGCAGGGCTTTCTCTCGCTCACTGCAAAATTTTGGCATTTGTCACAAAATTTGGAGGAGGAGGTGGGCAGAAGGAAGGGGAGGTGAGGGCCTTGTTATTTTGAAGTCTCCTACTGAGTTCATCAGGCGGAGCATGAGAATCGGGCTGCTTTGGAAGGGAGGTACGAGTTTTCAGGAGGGGAAGGGGAGCCAGGCCTTGGCCCCATGAGGAGATGTTGGGAGAAACATGGGCTTTGCTATTTTGCACCATCTGGCCCTCAAGTTGTGAAAGGTACCCTGGGGATGCAGCCAGAAAGCGAGGGACCACGGGGACATTTCTAGGTTGGATTCAGCTCTTCACATGAGCAGATTCTTCTCCCTCAACTTTGCTATAAGGCCGTTTAGCACCCATCCTGTTCTTCAGTCCATTAGTTTTCAATAAAAGCACTGTGCTTCATTGGACTGTCTTGTGTTTGAACCCAGAAGGAAGGAGGGAAGCCAACAGCCCACCACAATGGCAATAATCAACATCACTTCCCCAGCTTTTCAAGATATGGAATGCTGTATGGAATGCTATTCCTCCTAGGATGGCATTCCCAGAGGAGTGGGAATTTTGATGCAGGAACATGGCATAAGCAGCAATGAGATGGTCTGTCTTCTTGGCCAGTGGGAAGTTCAGGAATTCTTGGGATTTCAGAGGAACACCATCCCCCATGCATAGGTGAGGAAGTAGCATTTTGTAACTCTATTTCTTTATTTCCAAGATAGTATACCACTCTATCTTTAGCAAAATATTTCAGCAGGATGCCAGTACGTGCTTCTCCTGCTTTTGCTCCATTTCTTGGATATAAATCCCATCGGTGACAAATGCTTCTGTGTTTATTATATATGCTCCTACAGAAAAGCAAATGTGGAGAAATAAACACAGGATCTCTCAGGGTAGTCCACTGCAGGAAAAGCATGTGCAGACTGAACTCTCTACTCCTGAAGCCCAAGATCACATTCTCATTGATATGGAATATGTTGTGAATAAGTCATAGGCTTGTACTGAGCTTTGCCGGTCAATACCCCAAGAACTGAGAGCCAGTGTGATTAACAGCACAGGGCTGGGACTCAGGAGGTTCGGGTTTGAGTCCCTGCTCACCCATGGAGACCATTGGGTGACTTTGGGCCAGGTGTAAACTCTCAGTCTGGCCTACCTCACAGGGTTCTTGTTGTGGAGATGAGTGAGAGGGGGAGGAGGAGAGTGATGTAAGCCACTTTGAGTTCTTTAGAACAGAAAAGGTGGGATATAAAACTGAGCAATAAATAAATATGGAATGTATAGCCATGCCATGAAGCCCTTATGCTCCTGGGCACGAAAGGAAGTCTCAGGATGCCTACAGGGTCGGCTTGCGAAACAACTAGGTGAAATGGCAAGGGACGTGGTTTTGGAAGAAGAATCCTGTGCTACAGGTCTATGAGGTTTAAATCGAAAATGAGGGCTTCTACTTCGAAAGGATTCAGAGCGATCTGTGCTGTGTTTGCAAGTCAATTTGCATGCAGGCATGCAGGTCTACCAAAACAGTGAAAAGGGAAGCCATTGTGCGTTCATTGTGAAACAAAGCAGCAAAACAATTATGCCGATGTCGCAAACAATACCATAAGAACGAACATCTGCTCATTCTCTTAGCTAATTGATAGAGCTATGAAGAAGCAACCCACCCTCTGGCACGCTCTCAGCCCTGCATTTTAGCGTTTCCAGTCCCCCAGATTCTGAAGCACGCACTGTGCAAAAGGCACTGATTCGGGTCGATGTTCAGGGTATGCATTGGATGCTGACGTAGCAGCTCTTGGCACAACCAGTGATCTCAACTACGAACAGAAGACAAGTGCGGGATGAGGGCAACGTCTCTGTCATCCAGCAGTCTGTTCACACAGCAGCCAGTGAACTTCTCTGATGGATGACCCACAAGCAGGGCAAGAGTCCAAGAGTGTGCGCATGCACACCCAACCCCCATCATCCCCAGCAACCAGTGTGCACAGGTATTGTGGGCATGAGAAAGACACTCACTTGGCACACGTTCTCAAGGCCTCTGGCTGGACTTTGGAGGAGGGGGGGGAGGAGCAGGAGCAGCAGGAGCAGGATGGGGCCTGGGAATGCAGGCCAGTTCCAGACATTGAGATAAGAGGAACAGAGGCCCTTCTCCCAAGCCCAGACTCCCCAGGTGCTCTGCTCACCTCTGGGAATAACCAAGATGTACAATTACTGGGAGGGGGCTCAGAACAGGGGCATTTCTCAGAGACAAATGAGGCAGGGGTGGCTCTCAACCCCATGATGTGATGCCGGCAGAGGAGGGTGGCCCAATTAGAGGACTGGTGCATGGAGAGGAGGTGTGCTTGCTTTCAGAAGTCCCCTCCCAAAGGGATGGGCCCCAGGCATGCTCATAAGGAGAGTTCCTGGAAGTAAACCTCAGAATGGGTTTGATAAACCACTCTGTACTTGCTCGGCGATTCATTCTGGGTGTTTGAGCTTCTGGAACACACTTTGGTTGATAAAGAATGTTTTGTAAAAAGGGTGTGTAGCTTGGGATGTGCGAAGGGAGAAACCCTGGTTCTTCATAGGCACTGGAGGTAGCATTGCACCATGAGGACTAGTGGCCATGAATCCTATCCTAACTCCCATGAATCTGTCCATACCAAAGTGGTGGCCATCTCTGTATCCTGCAGAGGTGGATTCCATTGTGAAGAAGCGCTTCTGTCTGCCCTGAAAAGATTATGTATTATATTCAAAAAGAAACTGGACAGCCACCTGAGTGGGATGGTGTAACGTGGTGTCCTGCAACAGCAGGGGGCTGGACTCTATGGCCTTCATGGCCCCTTCCAACTCTACTATTGTATGGTTCTATGTCTGAAGCTAGCACTACCTATCCTATCCTCTGATTGGTGCAAATGTTCAGAAAATGGAGTAGAGGCATATCTCTAGTCTATTTTCCAGGTGGAGCACATGCCCAGATCAACCCCAGCCATCCCTAAGGCAAGGGAATGCAAGACTTACGTCACTGAGTCTCTCATGGGAGCTGCTCCGATGAAGCCCTTTTGATTCTCCACTCGCACTTTCACTGTCACTGTCCCGGCAGCTCTTCTGGCCTGGATTAAGCTGCATAACAAAACAGAAATAAAAGTTGGCATTTTATTAAAGGCCCTCGTTCAGGCAACATGTACAAGCAAAGAAACATCCCAATCCGATTCTAGAACATCCAACTATGTGGGCAAGGATGACTGGATGTATGAAGCTAGTCCAGTTCTGTTGTTCCTCCACATGTACACTAAAGATTAAAAATATGGGCCTCGTTTTCTCCAACAACAGGCCAGAATGGTCCTTGTGTCTTGGGCATGATGGTAGAAACAATCATTTCTTTTTCTCCCCTGCAGAAAAAGCTGATTTCCACTGGAATCGACCCCCGAGTCCAAGTTCAAAATTTGCTTAAACAAAGAAAGGTTGCTCTGCCTTTCCAATCCCAGGGTCTTCAGAAGAAATTTCTTACATTCAGATTAAAAGGACCACTCCAAGTGATTCTACTGACAACCATTATGAAACTGTGAGAAAGGTGGCTGGATCCACCCATGAAGGCCAACCCTGGAGCCACAATCCAGACTCAGTGCCAAGGAAGAGGCACTGAGAACTGAAGAAACAAGCTAAGCTTTCCCAACTCTCTGGCATTTTCAAACCAGAAGCTCCTGTGTTGCTGCCTGCAAACCCTCATCAGAGGAGGGTAGTCGGTGATATAAAGAAAACTGTAAGACCTGCAGACTACCTTGGAGAAGGTCAGTAGGACAAGAGAACCTGCGACTGACTCTCCAAGAGAAAGAGAAGCTAGGCAAGACTTACAAGTTGAAAGAGCTGATTACAGGCACCTCACTGTGAGATTGTAAGGAAGAACCCCAAAAAAGAAAAAGAAAAAACCTTCTGTATGTTTAGAAACAACTCCAATCCTTCAGCCATCCGGAGTAAAGAAATTCCACCCAAATACATCATACCAGATTCCAGAAGGACAGGCTTCCATAAGCAGATAAGTCCCACACCCCAGGCAAATGGACTGCCGTCCTTTTCTCAGACTCCCAAAGGAATGGACCTTCCCCATCCCTAGTGGATGACCCAGAGTGGCATCATGGTGTGCTGACAATTGTGCAGTGTACATTACCGACCATGTGGCTCAAGAATGCCCTAATGATTTTCTAGGGCCAGAAGGAGGAACTGAAGTGCATGATTTTTCCTGATGACCACACAACTGATGACCACACAACAAGGTATGCATTACTTCACATTCTATCAGAGAGACCCCAAAGGGCCAAAATATAAAACAAACCTCCGCCGAGAAGGTCAGAGTTTTGTAGAGATGAGCCTGGAGGCAGATTTTTCAACACCAGGTGTCCTAACAAGAAACACAGGTCAAGACAACCTTGTGCGAAAGCAACCGAATGTTGTTTGCTGGGTTGTTTCTGGTGACTAATCATTGCAAAAAGCTAAATGTAAAAATTTGCATGCGACAGGTGGTCCCGACTGGAGGTGGGCTCACGCTCCGTTGCTAGCGTGCACCCAGCACCAAGAGCCTTTTAAACGATAAAACAGCTTGCCGGTGTTGCCTCATGCTCAGACAATGAACAAGACAGAGTTTTGTATTGTGCTTTTTAGGGAGGGACTGAGCGCATGTCTAGGAGAAGACAGCCTTGTACTGGGGAGAATGTCATAAAATTAATGCTGTTCTGAGTGAAATTGTACAATTGTAAAGTGTTTGAGTCTATCTGATGACCAGTGTTGTCTTGGGGCATCTCACAATTCAGCATGTCCATCCTTCAAGTGACAAGAAAAGTGACCATCATTCTCCCAAGGAAGAGAAGGAGACCCCTTCCACCAATTTGCAGAAAACATTGTTTCCATTGAACAATCTTTCACCACAACAAAACTTAAATGTACACAACCACTCCATTCATACCATTAATTCCCCATAAATATAATATTCCAATTTAGAAGCTTCCCCGACATACCAGAGGTTCTCTATGCAATGCAGGTAGTCAAAATACTACAGGTACAACCTGATCCTATGCACATTTACTCAGAAGTAAATTTATTCCGTAGAACGTGCATCCAGATAAATGAGCAGAGGACTGCACCTCCTCTCCCTGCTCCCCAATTAGGTTTCTAGCTGGAAATAAGACTCAAACTGGGCAAAGGACCTCTTCCCAAGAGGATCTCACTCGGGAAAGGGGTATTTGGTGCCCCTAAAACCTTATGCTCACTTACTTGGAACAAGCTCAATCAAACTCGAAGTAACTTAAGTCTGAGAGGGGAGATATAGGTTTGTTTCCTCAATCTTGCTAGAATTTGGCCTGCATTCTGAATCTATATTTCATTTCCTTCATGCAGATACGGGTCATTGAAAAACATTGACATGAATTACTAACAAGTGCTAATCAAATCAATGGCGTGCATTCACTGTTGCTGGAACGTCTTCTGTTTATTTTTCCTTTCTTTGAAATGCACACTGCCTTGCTTTGTCAATTGGTTCCTCAGACCTCGGGGATCGGGCTGTTAGGCAGCCAGGAAATGTCTGTGCATTTCCACCAAAGGCCTGACTCAATTCTGTCACCAACCCTAAGGACGGAGTGGGCAGATTCTCGGCACAACATTCAGCCATTTGTTCGCAGCCATTTCGGGAAAAAAAAAGATATTTCTTTCCCTCGAGTGGTGATCCCAGCTGGTTCAAGGAAAACAAGCCCTTCTCAGAAGGCGATCTTCCCTTTCCACCCCACATGCAATTTATGCCAATGGAAGACACAATCACAAAGAAAGCTAAGCCCAAGAATTTGGAAGAACAAAATGAATGGTGCAGATGGAAGAGCAAACTCAGAAATAGGATATGCTACAATCAATGGCTTCTTCCTGCTACCGAGAGTGAGAGAGAGAGGGAGAGAGAGAACTGGAAAGCGTGTAAGACTTATTAATAACCAGTCCCACATAACGTATTACATAGCCTCACTTACAATGTTCCCTAATTAGTTCAGGCAGAAGGACAAACTGGAAAAGCCACCAATTTGTTTTTTTCTTAAGAACTTGCTTCGTAAATTAAGCCTACATCCAAAACACGGAGCCAGAGGAGAGTTTTCTGAATATGCTGGACTGACAGAAAGAGAAACAAGTGGGTCTTAGATCAAATTAAGACAGAGCTTTCCCTAGAAGCAAAGACAACAAAACTGAGGCTGTCCCAGTTGGGGCACACCATGAGAAGGAAGGACTCCCTGGAGAAGACAGCCATGCTGGGGAAAGTCAAAGGCAGAAGACAGAAGAGAAGAGCCATTCTGAGATGGATGGACTTAGTCCAGTCACATCTGGAGACCTAAGATGAGGACACCTGAAGTGTGTACAAATTACACACGTGTAGGCTGTGTATGTTTGAGAGGGAACCCGCATCTATTTCCCAGTTCCTACATGTAGATAGATATTTGTAAGAATAACATTTTAAATAGCATTTTTCTACTAGCCAAAGCTCTCTGGGCAGTTTGCAGTATGAGTTTGAGGATGGACAGTGAAGAAAGCCGAGAGGAAGAAAACGGATGGGCTCGAACCACAGTGCTGGAGGAGAAGCTCTGCAAATATTCTGGAATGACAGAAAGATAAACAAGGAGGTCCGGGGCAAATCAATCCAGACCTTGGCCCAGAAACAGAAGGACAAAACTGAGCCCATTGTGCTTCATGAGAAGGTTGGACTCCCTGGAAAAGACAACCAGGCTGGAGAAGGTTGAAGGCAGAAGAAGACCGGATAGGAGATGGACCAAGCCCGTAAGGGAAGCGACAGCTGGCAAGAGCTGAGCAGGGCTGTGAAGGACAGAATATCTGGGAGGGTGAAAGGTCTCCCTGAGCCACACTTCACGGTTACACCTGATCAGCAGACTCGACTTTTCAGCCCATAATAAGCCAGATGTTGTGAGTCTGAAGACTGCCCACCTTTGCTTTAAATCACCATTTGATATGCAAAATGCAGCGGGTCAAGCCCTACATGGCATGTCATTAAACATTGTCACATTCTATTTTCTGGTGGTCACATTTTCTATTTTCTGGTGGTTAAAGGCCCAGCTTGTTTGCTAATTTACAAAGGGTGAATTAGTGAGTGAAATGAGTTCAAAGACAGAGCCAAGAATGGCTGGCAAGAGAGAAAGCTTTTTAATTATGAACCCACCTGCATATTGATAACCAATATCATGCAAATATTGTGATGAAGTGTGCCATGAGCCAGCTTTTGCTCCCTTCACACATCCCAGACAACAGACCACGCCCTGCAAATGACTGTTATTCACCTAAGTATAGCCAATACACACCGTCACCCCGGAAAGAATCTCTGACCACGCACAGAGTGGTTTGCCAAACCCAATCGAACAACTACTTCCAGAAACCCTCCTCTTGAGTAGGTCTGGAAAGACCCTTTTGGAAGCAAGCATGCCTTTTCCCTCTACGGCAACCCTCTAGTTGGCTAGTCCTCCTCTCCCAAACCCACATCATGGGGTCAGGAGCTGTGCCGGGTTCCTTTGACCTTCCCAGCTTCTCTTCCATGCCTCCATCCAACAGCTGGACAACTTGGTTATCCTCAGAGGCTTCCTGAACACTTGGGGAGAAAGGCATTGAGAGAAGTGCCTCAACATCTGGAATTGGCCCACATTTCCAGACCTCCTCCTCCTCCTCCTAGAACTCCAACTCCAATTCCAGCTCCAACTCAGCATGAAATGGGAAAGCCAAGAACAACTGCCCCTCTCATTCCCAACAGGGTACATGCAAAAAGAGTCTTCCAACACATATTTCAGTATGACTTCCTGTGCTCATTTTTAAAGGAAAACGATTATCAGATTCACCCAGAAATGGGAAGGCATGTACGAGTACGTGTGAAACTGACATGGAGCAGAAATAGACAGATCCCACCCTACCTGATTCATTCTCGGAATGCATAAACCCAAACGAATCACCCTATTTTGATGGATCATGTTAGCGATTCTCAATGAATTTCCTATCTGAAGTGTTGGTCTTCTTTTGCTCCAATCTTGCTGCATAATGAAAATACCAACTTGCATGAGTAAATAAAAGATTATGCCGGAAATTCATTACAGCCA